ACAATAACTAGAAACAAATTTCAGTTCAAAGTTCAAAGCTCAAAAAACTTAACTATAATGTCGCTTTTAAAATTGTTGGGCATTTCTCAATTCATTCATCAAAAAAGTTCAATACCACCAGTTTAACTACAATAGCAACTGAATGAACTTCTAATAAATACTAATGAACTGATCATCATTGAGTTTGACTTAAATGAGCACCACAATGACCTCTTATCTAACGCAAAACAACTTGCCTCAATAGAAGAATTAAAAACTTCAACAAAAAGTGTTCTACCGACTTACTTGACAAACCCTTTCGATTTGTCATCCGCAGTGAAAAAATCAAATGGGTTTACACATCCAAAACCGTTAACATCAACGGAAAAAAGAAACCCATTCTTCAAATTGAAATCAGCAGCTGAGGCTGTTCAGTTGCTCTCAGCATCTTACTAGTTCATCATCCTTTAACAAGGCCAGTTCTTCTATTAAATTACCTCATCTTTTATGCTTCTACACCAATGCAACCTCCCTCAATCTATTAAAACTCATCGAACTCTCCTTACTTGCAAAAAACAACTCTTTTGACATTATTTTTTATCATTATGGCTCAACAACCAATCAACTCTTTTTATCCCAAATTACAACCTCTATTGTTCAGACCATCTCAACCAAATCAGAGGAGGTCTAGCTAAACACACAAAAAAGAAATAATAATCTCAAACCAACTAAAAGAACCCCTACTACACAAAGATTTTGTTAGTTACTATTCAGAACAGTAATGGGTCAAACTAAAGCTTCTGAAAGAAACTCTGCTCCTAAACTGCATTTACAGACTTCCATCTTCAAAGTATCAAAGCCTCTTAGAGACCTGTTATTTTCCACGCCGAAACATCAGTATCAACCAAAGAATACAATGGTATCATAATTGCTGGTGATTTCAATTTCCTAGAGATTACTTGGACTTCCAATTCAGTCTTCTCTAGTAAAATCAGTCTTGGTTCTTTCTTTTTCAAGATCATCTACACCAATTTGTTACCACCCCAACTTTCAAACCAGTCTATGAGAAGCCAAACAAAACATCCCCCCAAAAAAAACCATAGACGACAAAAGAACTACTTTCTCTGATTCGTTTTAAAAAATCACTCTGGGCTAGTAATGCCAGTTCAAAATGGAAAATCACATCTTATATACTGGATTATACCAAAACTTGAAAGTTTGTTAAAGCAAGTTGTTCTTCTCTGAAATCCTTTAAATTTGCTCTGGCCAATGATAAGCACAACCCTAATAGACTACTTTCATATATCATACATAAATAACGAACACTTTGTAACAGATCAGATCTCATCTATCCAAATCACCAGCTCCAGATCATTAGCTCTGACAAAATAAAATAACCAACTCACATAAGAATCAACTTCAAACAGTTTTCAGCAAAGAATCATAAAATGACCATCTTCCCCATTTTGATTGTAGAACTAACATAATCTTTAACAACATAGCATTCGACACTCAGGCCACTCTAATAGAACTCTCATCACTTGATGTATCCAAATCACTTTATGTAGACAATGTCAGTCCTTGCATTTTACGTGCTTGTTCTACTTTCAGTAGAAACAAGTAACAATTATTATATCAACAGTAACAATCTTCAATCAACAGTCAAATAATCTTCTATCAACAGTAACACCTTTATTTAAGAAGGGCTCCAGAATCAACCCATCAAACTACAGACCAATATCTATCACCTCGATTCCGTGTAAAGTAATGGAGAAACTAGTTAAGAAAGCAATCATGTAGCATCCAAAGTCAAATAATCTTCTATCAAATAGCCATTAAGACTTCTTACAGAAAAAAGCATATGTTGTGAATCTCCTTGAAACAATGGACTTCTTTACTGGAATTGGTTAGAAAATTACCAGTTGACATCATATTCCTTGATTTTTATCAGCAAATGCTTTACAAACTATTGGAATTGGGCCATTGTTCAACAACAATGGCCCAATTCCAATAGTTTAGGCTGTTACAGAATAGAGATCAGATAAAAATTGGCTCCTTGTTCTAAGCAATCAAAAAGTGAAGAAATTTAGTCAAGACAAGAGTATAAAGTTGAGTCATCAGCAAAAAGAGCCACTTTAGATGTAAAATTTTCATGAAGATCGATATTATAGATTAGCATTTTAGACCCAAATTTAACTGAAAGATGAATTTAGATCATATGGGTACACCAAATTTAACTGAAAGTTGAATTTAGGCTATATATGTGGCCCAAATTTAACTGGAAAGACGAATTTAGACTTTTAAACCAAATTTAACTGAAAGCCAATTTGGATTTTAAAAACATTTTATTGAAAGAGAGACTTTTATAAATTTTATAAAAAATTCTATACATTTTTTGTTTGTTTGTTTTAATTACCCCAAGAAGACCTAACAATGTTATCACAGAGTACCGCAGAATGTATTTAACTAGGAAGTTCAAACATCCTTCCTTCCTGATGGTGCACTATATACTCAGAGCTTGCTTCAAATCATAGGTCTCTTGCTTCTAGAGCGAGAAACTAACTACCGCTCTAAGTACTGCGCCACGGCTACTGTATAATCATTTTTTACAAACCAAAATTATTATTTTATTGCTACTTATTAACCATAATTCAAAACATGACAAAATACAAGTGAAGAAGTAATTTTTAATTTATTAAAAATATATACGCATATAAAAAACAACAATTAGTGTTGAAAAAATAAAATCTAAAAATGCAGTAATAAAAACAATATAAGTTTTGAAATCTTTACAACTCTGTTGGTTTTGAACAAACATGAACAAAAAAAACATTAACAACGTATATTTATAAAATTTCTGTCAAATTTCTGTCAATTTTATAAAGGAAAAAGATCGCTAAGAATATTTAGGTACGTGCGTATCTGGCTTTTACGGCACCAATTTTAAAGTAAAAATCTGTGACCTACTTTTTCACAGCATGCTTGGCGTAGGTGTCGTAAGAATGAGTTTTGTTACCCTATTTTTTAGAATCTTATATCAACTTAGACTTTATTTTAAAAGTAGAAGGTTTAAAGTTTGTTTTATGGTTATTTTTTTTTGCAGTGACTAACGTTTTCAATAATTTTATTGGAATTAAAAACTTCGTTCCTGTTGTGGAAGTGTATTGATATTGAAGGCATGTTGATTTATTTTTGTAATATGTTCATTTAATTTCATCTATTTTCTACGTACCTGCCAAATTTCAATTTAAAAAAAATTGCACTCTCATACTCTATTTTTGTACTCCCTGGAGGTACCCAAAATTATATTTTTTATGGTGGCTCGGGGGTGCTTGTGTCACAGTTATGAGCATTTAGTATTATTGACTTTTCATTTTAAAAATATGTTGAGTTTTCATATCCATTTCATTAAAAGTGTTGTGCACTAATAATTTGTTAAAAAATAGAATTTTATTTTACTAGTATTAATACCAATTTCCATCTAATTTATAAAGTTACCTTATGATACTTTATAAATTAAGTGGAAATTGGTATAAGTCATTTAATTATAATATCTATATTTATACCTAAAATACTAATATAAAAGGCTTATAAACCAGTAAAGTGGAGATTATTAATGATATATTTTTAATGTACGTACATTTAAAAAATATTAAAATGTCCACTTAATTGGTACATGTTATTTTATGAACCTATTACCAGATAAGTTACTTTATGGACTTATCAAGTAGAAAATATTAATAACATACTTTTGATGTATTTTATTAAATATTATATGTAGTTTTTTTTTTCTCATGTACATTCAAGCATTTTTTTTTTAACATAGTGGTTGTGATTAGTAGCTGAGTGAATGATTACAGCTATTTTATTTAGTGAATCGTGGGCCCTAATAAGAGTAGACATTTACTTATGGTGAAGCCAAAAGTTATTTAACTTGTAACTTTGCATTGCCTGCTCAATTAGACATGAATGTAAGAATGGACATATACTGTATATATTTACAACCAACAGCAAATGGTTTAGAAAAAATGAAGAACTGGTCAATAAGCTTTTTAACCTTAAAATTTGTCAAAATCAGATTGTGCATCTAGTTAATTTATCTAAGTTATATGCACAGAATTTTTTGAGATTTTCAAATCTTTTCATTGATATATGCAAAAAGGTTATTGCAGGCCAAAAAACAACATTAGCTACAACACAATCCTTGCAGTCAACGGCAAGCTCAATTAACCCTGTTTCGGGTTCTTCATCATCATCTTCTCAACACAACACTGTTTTATATGTAGTAAATAGTGATCACCAATCATCTTCTTTATGTGGTCCTGCTTTAATGACCACTTCTCAGAAACCGCTACTATCTAGATTGAGAGCCGATCAGTTGAGCCCAAGAAAAAAAATTATGAGAAAGAGATTAACCAATTTGGCAAATGAAATAGCTTCTGCGAAAAGAAAGCATAGAGAAGATTTAAAAGAGTTAATAGATAAGCCAAATATAAGGTTATGCAGAATTAAATATTTAAATCGGTTATTACTTGCAAGGAGAAAACTATACATCAGCTTTGGAAAAAATTAAAGGAAAAATATTTAAATTTACAGTTAAAGAAACTTCAAAACAAAATTTTTTGTTTGAATCAACATCTAGCATTCACGGAAAACAAGTTCTCTAATCAAAAAGCCATGTTATGTCATCAATATGTTATCAATAACTTGATGACAAAAAAAAGTGCTATATATATAGTTTCTTATTGGAAACTAAAAGAGATTGAGGATGATGATGCTGTAGAGTAAATATAAACTATCTGATGAGCAAATATAAACTATCTACAGACATTATAAGTGGTAATATGGTAATATCATAAAGAAATAGTGTATGAATTGATTTTAATAAGGTATATGTTATTTTGAATAATAATGTAGTTTATTTAGTTTCATTAATAGATTTTATTTACAGATGGTAAGTTACAACATCTATTCTATTTTAGGTAACAAACATTGAAACATTCATTTGGTTTGATTGGTGTTTCTGTTTTAAGGGCACAATGTGTTAAACATCAGAAGTTAAGTTATTTTTATTTGTTTTTAACTTAAACTTTCTTTTCCATTATTTTCATTGAGTTTGTTCAGTAATTTTAAAAATCTAATACATTTTATCTATCATTGCAAGGTTTTAACTCGTAGCATGAAAGCTGAAAAATAGATTTTTGCTTCAACGAATGCTAATCATTAACAAGTAAATGTTAAAGCGGTAAGATTATACTTATAGATTAGATTATGTAATAACAGTTACATATTTATTTTCCAGAACATGTGGTTTTTCTATTTAAAATGATTGTGTTATGGTAACATGTGTTTATTCGGAGATCTATTTTTTTTAGCTGTCATTGCACTGTGTTAACTCTGTTGCGGAAGAACCGACTTTTTCTAACTTTATATGTGCTTTAAAACTAGGCTATTTTTATAGCCACTAATATGTTAAAAACATTACTAAGCAAATGGGAATACAATCATTTAGTTTTTAGTTTTTATTTACATAATATATTTTAAAAGAAGTAACCTTTTTTTTTGACAGGATGTGAGTTTTAATCAATTTAAATGAAGGCGGTATACAAAAGATGCACTAAAACGCTTTTCCTAATACATGTCTATATATCTTTCTGAATACCAATATTAAGTGTTGCCACCTGTTGTTAAATGGTAAAATAATTAAAAGCGTTTTATTAAAGTTCTTTTATTATTGGCTCTAACTGGAAAAAATCGTGTGATTTGCTTAATAATAATAGTACGTTGATTGAAAACAAACCTTGCATTTCTTAAAAACTGTTCATTATTACTTTAGTCACGTGGTTTTCTGACTTGATCCTTAAGTCATTATCAGTGCGAAAAATATGTATAAATATAGAGACTGTTAAATTTTTTAATTGTCTTTATATTTAAGTACACTTTTTAGAAAGATATACTTATATAATAACACAGCAAGTAGAATACGCCTTCTAATAATAAAAAATCTATATTTATAAAATAATGTATATAAAAAATAGTGCGTATATATGCGCTAATTTTGTAATATATATAAAAATTTATATGTTTTTGTTAAAAAAATTTTATTTGTTATCAAAAACAATTTATTTATTTAAATAAGCAATATTATTTATTTTTTGTTAAAGTTGCGTTGAATTAAAATTTTAAAAAAAACAAAATAATGCGCAATTTAACAATAGAAGTTATTATTACAAAAGTACCATTAGCCGGACGCGAATTTCTCTAACTTTTTGTAAAATTTTTCGTTTTTTATGAAATTTTACCATTGTTATACTAATTTAAAGCTCTTTTTAATGATATATAATATTTATATATAAAAATAATTTGAAATTTTTACACACGTAAATAGAATATTAGGTTAAATATTCACTATTTTACCTTTAAGATTTTTTGAAAGTGATAAATAAGATTTAATAAGTGACAAATAGACTTTGTGCTTAAAGTAAAAATCTATTTCTAATATAATTTTTTTTTTTTTTTTACTGAATTCGTGTTCCCAAGGCTGAGTGGACCAATTTAAGTCAAAGAAGCTACTCATTTTTTTTTTTTTAAATAGTGGTTACAATCCTCTCTCAACTCCTAAACCCCGAAACACGAACCTTGACAAACAAGGTCACTGCGCAGAGAAACAGGTTGATGTACATAAAACATGTGATATATTATATAATTATTTTTCTTTTTTAATTGAAAAAAAAATTAATAACTTTCGAATTTAACTGAAAGTTAAATGAAATTTCACAATTGTTACCAAATTTAACTGAAAGCTAAAGTTCTAATTCAAATTTGGCACCAAAGTCGAAGCCGAAGTCAACTTCGCCTTTCAATAAACTTCCTAATCCGAATTTTAACGAATATTCGCCGGTCCTTAGATAGAACCTTGTGGTACCCATAAAGTTACTTGAAATAAAGAAAACTTAAATATTGAAATATGATACTTGAATATATGATACTTGAAGTAAAGAAAAACTTGAAATAAAGTGTTTTCAAGAATAACTATAATACTGCAGTTAGAAAGAAATAATTTAATAATCTCAAAACCTTTATATAAAGAAACTAATAACAGAGTGAAGACTAATTGTAGGATAGTTGGAGAAGTCAAACTATTTTCTAAAGTTTTGAAAGATTGGAACCACTTATTTAGCACTTTTTTTAAATTGAAGAGAGTTCTGGAGAACACTTTTTTAAGACTAACCAAAAGTCTCTAGAACCTAACATCTGATATAAGACAAAAGATTTAGTAAACTGAGAATAACAGAGCTTAAAATCAGACAGGACCTTTTTACATTGGCTTCTTGGAATAATAAAAGGACATTTGTTCTTAAGAGAGATGTTCTTGTAAAAATGATGTTCTTGTAGTATTTGCTGAGAGAGAAGATGATCAGATGATGATGATGATGATGATGATGATGATGATGATGATGATGATGATGATGATGATGATGATGATTATGATGGTCATGTTGATTATAATGATATTTAAATATGTTTATATATATACAAAATGGAACAAAAATTTAAAATAAAAAAAATATGCTTTAGGGTGTATAAATATTTATGCAGCCTGGTCACAAACCCAGTCCCAGCTAAATTTTATCAAACCCGGCCCCGGTCAAATATCAACCCCGGTTATTTACTACTAGAAGTGTTATTTTGTAAATATGCATATTTTAGAATGTCTATTTTTTTTTCATTTTTTTTTTCAAAGATTAAATAATTAAATTCAATATTACATTTTTATTTATCATTTAACAAATAAATTTCTTTCTTGACATTTGTATAAATTAATTAAAATGTTTTGTTGTTTTTTTTCATTATTTCTTAAAATTGCGGCTTTGCAAATAATGATTTTTTACTTTTTAAAAGTAAAAAATAAAAGCAAAAAGTATTACTTGTTGCAATAAAAAAAACTCAAGTTAATTACTTTACTAGTGCATTTTTTTGGTGACAAAGAAAGATTTACGTTTTCAAGTATTATTTATTAAAAAATATATACTGTTACGCTTTCACTTGCCTTATGACAAAAAAGTTAAACATACACTTTATGAATATTTTTTATATGCAGTGTTATAAGTTATAATATGTTTTCAAGGAAATTAATTTTTTGTAAAAAATAGAAAAGGAGAAAGAAAAACCAAGATAAAAAAAACTAATCTTTTTAAAATTTTTATTTTAAAAAAATTTCTGTTTTTACTTTTTTGATATTGCACAATCTGTCATTTATATGTTATTTATAGTGGTGCAAATATTAAATAAAATTTAATGTGTACTATTTTTTAGCTAATAAATTTTTGTATTTTTATCTTATTTTTTAAATTGGGTAATTATTTTTTGTTATTCTTTGTTATGAGAAATTGTCTAAATAAATATTCTTGTTCTTGCAAGAGGTTTTTTATGCGTCTATAACATCTTTTTTCTTTTCTTTTACTGAACATTTTTATGCGTCTATAACATCTTTTTTCTTTTCTTTTACTGAACATTTTTATGTGTCTATAACATCTTTTTTCTTTTCTTTTACTGAACATTTTTAATGGAAAAGTTAGGTTGATAAAAATAAAACTTTCTTTGTTTTTTCTTAAATGAATACATTTGTAAATAGCGCAAATATCAAATGCAGTCATGCAAACAATGAGACTTTTGCAAACCTAGCTAAAAATGAGACTTTTTGCAAACCTGGCAAATTTAGCACAGGTTGATAGCCGGGGCTAGAAAAAAATTTATAATTCTTTATATATTATTATTTTATACTTACATTAACTATTTATTAAATACTGGCATATATATATATATATATATATATATATATATATATATATATATATATATATATATATATATATATATATATATATATAAATATATATATATATATATATATATATATATATATATATATATATATATATATATATATATATATATATATATATATATATATATATATATATATATATATATATATATATATATATATATATATTTAAACTCTAATTTACTTCTAACAAGGTTGCAAGCAACCACTATTAAGTTATGAGTTATTATAAAATAGAGGATAGGTCAAAAAAAGGGTGTGGAGTTGTAAAAAAAAGTACAGACTCCGACTCTAATTGTTGAAATTTTCAGAGTACAACTCCGACTCTGACTCCAAAGCAAAGTTTTTGAAAAAATCTTTGAATTCTTTGCAAAATATTACACAATAATTTGAAATTTTTTTTTTTGCTAAATATATAAAAAATTGTTTTATGGAGCTTAAATATTTTGTAGAAGTACGTGCAATACCGAGAAGTTTTACTATTGGAGTTAGAGTCACGATTTTGTTTAGCGACTCCGACTTCACTAAAAATGCGACTCTACAGCCCTGGTTAAAAAGCTGAATTAATAGGATAAAAAACTAGATTAATAAAAGTTTTTATAGCATGAAGGGACAGAAAAAAGTTTTTATAGCATGAAGGGACTGTAAAAGGATGCAACTTGTTGAATAAGAAGCCAAGCAAGAATGAGTTTTGGTTTATCGTAATAGAGATGATAGCTCATTTGAGCATTGAGCATGACTAGAGAAACAGTATAAAATAGGAAGGATAAACCCTGATGATGATGACGACAATGATGATGATGATGATGATGATGATGATGATGATGATGATGATGATGATGATGATGATCAAGTTGATCATAATCATATATGCATATATATACAAAATATAACATCAAATTTATAGAAATTATAGAATGTATAAATGTTTATTCAGTTCTGGTCACAAATCCAGCCCCAGCTATATTTTATCAAACCAAGCTCTGGCCCTGGCCAAATATCAACCCCGATCACTTACTAAGGCAGGGTTGGGGGATCAAATATATTTGATCAAATACAAATAAGTTAATTATAGATTTCCAAATACAAATTCAAATACAAATATATGCAATCAGCATTTTCCAAATACAAATACAATTACAAATATTTGTACTTTAGGTTAAAAAAAATTTTATTTTAGTGAAAAAAATGAAAAAAAAAAAACTTCTTGGATTTTTCCCAAAAAAAAACACAAGTTAACCTAGTTTATGGAATTGCAAATACATTTCAATCAAATACAAATACAATTATTTAAAAAGTTATTTGACTAAATACAATTCTAATACAAATACGCTATTTTAGTGTAATTTTACCGAGCACAAATGCGTTTTTAACCCCAACCTTGGTGAGAAATATACATCCCTTGAGCATTGACTATGGTAGTAGTTGTGCAAAATAGAAAAAGATACATATCATATGACAATGGATCAGAAGCACAAGCTTGGGAGCTAGAGCAGGTCCAACTACATTTACAATGTGTTTTTGGATTTGTCTAAAAGAATGAGTATAATTAGAAGAACCAGTTAAAACATGACAACAGTATTCCATACAATAGTGATTAAGAAATTTATAGAGCTATAGAATAGAGGAGTAAATGAACAGGAACATCATGCATTCTTCAAAAAGAGATTATATTTAAGATAACTATCTTTTCTAAGCAATTAACACTTTTGTCTGAAACAATTGTTGACTTATTTAGCAAAGAGAGCTACTTTAGAGGTAGGATTATTAGGAAGATCGTTAATAAAGATGAGGAACAACACAAGATTGAAGATAATCCAGTGTTCATCATCCAAGGCAGGAAACAATGCAATGCAGATTTATTTCTATGCCAGCCTATTGATAAAAAAGGAGTGCAAGGCTGGCCTGCAAAAATTTTCTACTTACCCCTAAAGTTTTTGCCTAGTAGGTTTTCTACAAGGCAGTAGCTAGATGTTACCTTTTTTTGACATCTTCACTTCCAACAAAGCTGCAAACAACCACTATTAGAGTTAAAAGTTACTGGAAGAAGAAATATGAAGCTTATAGAGCAAGATAATGATTGACACATAACTTAAAAGATTGCAAATTATATGAATCAGGAAAACAAGATAAAGGAAGCGAAAAAAACTAGACAAATAAAATTTTTTGTAGAACTAAAGAACAATCATAGTAAAAGGATGAGACTTAATTTAATGTTGAGTAATAAGAGAATGAATTTTAGTAGATGATACAAGATACACTAGCTCTTTACTGACATCTCTTTAAGACAAATATTTTTATCAAGACACCATCTTTACCCTAAACTCAACCAAAAACCAAATGGTGGAGTGTATTTTAGGCCAGAGTTACAAGGCAGCAAGACATCTACCAGGTTATATTTTACTACATGTTATCATGTGATATTTTATTACTTTTTAGACCAATTTTGACAGCGCTGTCTGTATTTGGGCACCACCCAAATTCAAAACTGAGGACCTTTTTGTTTGCTTTTTTTTCAAAAAAAAGCTTACATTCAAAAATATTTCCACAAAATTTTGGTGGCACAGGGGGTACCTCCGCTCAAATTATTATATATATTAGAATATATATATTAGAATAGCCCCTGTATGTATATATATTCTAATACCAAAACTGACAGTTCGGCAAATATCTTAATACCAAAATTTCAGCAGATGCTTAGCTTGTTTTGACAGTAATAGGTAGGTGAGCTTTATAATGAGAAAAACACTGACAATCTAGTACTTAGAATCATTATACCTGCAAGTTTTTCCATTGCAAATGTGACAATTGAGGTAGTTGGGGTCACTATTGCAGATTGTAAAATGTTTTCAAGCTAAACTTTTTTGACTAGTTTTTTCGAGCTCAGATAATAATAATGAATTAATAATCATAAATAAATCAACAATTAGAATAATAAACTAAAAGTTTACATCCACGAAATACTTTGTTTACATCTACAAAATTCCTTGTTTACCTTTCTATTCATCTATTTAAACCAATATTTTTTTTAAAACAAAACATTTTCAGATGCGCAAGATTCAAAATATAATGTGTACCGCAATGATTTGAGTTTTTATGGTTTCAATATTTTAAAGAAGCAGATTGATACATTGAACAAAAATTTAAAATCATTTAATTCGAATTTTAGCTTTTTGTATGTTTTTTAAAGTAGTTTTATGTTTTTTAACTACTATTGTTTATTTATAAACAGGAATAATAAAATGGCAAGCACAATAAAAGCAACTTTAGCAGATATTAACTTTGCAATAGATTGCATGGTTTTCAGTTGATAGGCATAAATGATAGGTAGAAGCTAACTTGAACACTTAGTAAGAGTGTTCTACTTAGCTTCTGCTTGGGCTAATAACATTCAGCCAGGGCCGCCGAGAGCTGTCACGCCGCCTGGGACAGCAATCCTGATTGGTGCCCTTATTTATCAAATTTTTCCTTTATTATATATGAAGGACCTCTTTTTTTTTTTTTTTTTTTTAAACACCTAAATTTCATTTGGTGCCCCTTAGATATCTGCCGCCTGGGACAAACTGTCCCGGTGGTCCCTCCCTCTCGGCGGCCCTGCATTCAGCAGCCGAAAATATTAACAATATTGCAATAATTATTAGCAACTGAGTTTTTTAGGTTAAAACTCACCAATCACTGCAAGCCAACAAGCCATTGCAGGCCCTAAGCTGTTATAGAATAGAGATCACATTCAAAATCAGTTGTCTGTTTTAAGTAACAAAAAACAATTTTTTTTTTTTGCATATAGTTGTGTCAACAACAAGTAGAGCCACTTTATAGAAAAGATTATCAGGAATGTTATTAAAATAGACTAGGAACAACAGAAGTTACTGAAAATGAAGTGTTGATCTTTAAGAGCAACTTTAATACTGGTGTTAGAAAGAAATGATTCAGTAACTTTTAAAACTTACCTAGATACACCATATAAAGTAAGCTTATTTAGAAGACTAGCATGCAAAACTTTATCAAAAGCCATTGATATATCATGTAACTTCTGCCTCACATTTTCCATCTTTAAATGGATATAACAGATATATAATAGATTATAACTAAAAGAATCAATATTGCATTAAATCTAATACACAATAGAACTGTATCTTGATAGAACTAACATTGCAAAATTTTTTGAAATAAAACATCAACTCTTTTAAATTGTGAAATAGCATTAGATTATATAGACTAAAGACCACTTTAACTTTTTAAACTAGCATTTTTTTTAAAGGTACCATGATAATGCTTATCATAAAAGAGAAACATTGATTTATTATATGGTGAAACAGTTGTCAAAGCTAGATGTTTAAAATCAAGATGATCAGCTAAGAAATAAAATAAAAAGAAACAATATGGCCAGCTAACCTTGTCAATAATCACATTCAGGGATTTTTTGAGCTTAGTGAGTAGAATTTATATGCTAATAAAGTCAATATATGTTTGATGATATTAGAAAAAACAACAATCATTGACTTTAGCTTAAAAAAGAATATTTGAAACATTTTAGATAGGTAATGGTTCTCACTTAATAATAAAAGATATTACTTTTTTAAAAAGCCAGCAAATCTTGACCAAAAAATTTAGAATTGCATTTTTATGCTCCTAAAACTATTACTCCAACAAATTTTTAGTGATATTAAATACTAGTTTTGTCAAACAAAAAGTTTATTTTTAAACTATAATTTAATGATTAACCCTTTATTACACATTTTTTTCGGGAAAAAAGTAAAGAATAAAAAAGTTCAAAAATAGTTTGAACTTGTTCAATTTCAAATTTTAATATGTTCATTACTAAATCCCATTGTGTTTGATTACATATACATACTTTGTTGAAAAACAAAAATATTGTGAAAAGGATAAAGCATTTATTTTATTTAAATTTTAAATTGGTTTTCTGCAACTTATATTTATACATATCTTTCAGCATAAATAAGGTATAATAAAACAAGGTTTATAGAAAAGAAGGTAAAAAAGTAAAATGGAATTTAGATAAATAGGAACTTTGAATTTTTTGAATTTTAATATATCTTTACAACTTACCTCTCTAGTATATGAATATGTTCCTGACATAATATGACTAAAAAGTTTTGGTGTACTATCTGCATTAAAAGGAAGATGTCCACTTAACATAACATAAACTATAACACCTAATGACCACATATCTACCTTTGTTCCATAAGGTTTCTTTTGAAGAAGTTCTGGTGCAATATACTCAGGTGTACCGCACCATGTTGTTAATGGATTCTGATCAAGTATTTCTATTTCCTTGTACTTTGCAAAACCAAAGTCTGTAATTAGTATTTTAGAATTTACTCCAGGGTGATAAAATAAAATATTCTCAGGCTTTAAGTCTCTATGTGTAATCCCACTATAATGCAAATACTCTATTCCTTCTACAAGCATTTGAGTAATATTACAAGCCATTTTTTCATCTAAATAACCATAGCTCCTAATTCGATCATAAAGTTCACCTCCAGTTGCTAACTCCATAACTAAGTATGTAATTTTATTTGAAATGATAACCTCATGTAACTTTATGATGAACCTATGTAAAATTTTATTTAGTACTTCTAGCTCAGATTCTATTAGTTCTTTAGATTCTTTATTTTGAATATGTACAACTTTAATTGCATATGGCTCTTTAGAAGTTTTACTTTCAACTCTCAGTACATCACTAAATGTGCCTTTACCAATAAGTGCTTTAATATTATATTTTGCAGAAACTCTAGAATCAATTTTTGTTTTATATTTAGGTGTGCTTTCGTTTTGTTCTACAAGTCCTTTTTCTATATCTGTAAAGACACTTTTTGATTCAAAACAGATTTCAGGGTATATTTTATCATTTTCTTTTTTGTATGTCTCGTTTTCTTTAGATAGAGAACAACCCATAATAGGATTTGTAGTGTTCCATGAAAAAGAGTTTGCACATACTTTAAAGTGCTATAAAGTAAAGAAATCAATTTCTTTTTCAGCTAAAACTACAATTTTTAATATTTACGGTAACAAATGGAAATAAAAAATTTATGCATTAAATATACCGACTTAAAAATAACTGAATCCAAAGAAAATAAATTAAACATGCAACGAATTTTAAATTCATTATTTATGTTATGCGTTAAACCCTGATATAAATTTATTCTAAAATTGTAATGCTAGAAAACAAGTTAAATAATAAATAAATATAAAAATAAAAAATAAATAAAATCAATTTTGTAACATTCTTAAATTCAGAACTTTATATGCGTGAGAATTACACTAAATCTTGTGTTTATACTGACTACGATTTAGTTGTCATGCGTGGGATAGAGGAATCTTATCGCGAAAGAAATCGCAAAAGGCGCTGAAGAAAAAAAAATTAAATTCGAAGACGGCGACTGCCTTGATGCGAATTTTATAACAAATCTACTTATCTGCTAATGTGCGAATATTTATGTTAACCTTCATAAATGCAGTGTAGTCCCAAGAACTTAAATAAGTGCAAATAAGCGTAAGGGACTATCCATAAATGTTTTCCGTAAGTAAAGGGAGGAAAGGGGAAGGTATTGATTGTTTGACAAAAATTGACAATAGGGAGGTGGTATGTTGAGACCTGAACGATTTCAATTAAGAATAAAAAAAAGACCATCTAAATGTTAAATAAAAATAATTTATTTTGTTTCACAACCAAACCTTCCTTTAAATTAAATTAAATAATATAAATACTTGACAAGCCTAAAAAATTAACAGGTAATTTTTTAGTTCTTATTTTTATCAAGGAGGTATCATATAAGCGCTCTCGAAAGAACAAAAACTTTTAAGAAATATTGCAATGATGTATAAAGTGAACCATTTTTAAGTATTATGTCTTTAAAAATTTTTAATTTTTCCTTTACACGTGTTACTTTACTTTTACTTTTTTTACTTACACGTAGTTATTTAACTTTATAGCAATTTTGTATGAGCAGGCACCAATTACACTAAATTACACGTTTTCAACAAGACGAAATATTTGCGCGAAGCGAATTTTTTCGCTAATACAAAACGGCGTTTTACTTTCTCTTGCGCTACTTTTTTTTCGTTGTCAACAATAAAAATGGCAGCAATAAGTTTACGCTGTATGTTTAACTAAAAGCAATTACTACTTTCTACTTATTGAAATTTCTTTCCATGCATTAGTTTTAACATTTCTATCTTTGTATGTAAGATGTAATATCATTTTGTAATATAATAATTTAATATAAGGTTTTTTATAAGAAAGTATAAGAAAATAAATAATTCTGATATAAGCATTTCTGTTAAAAAACTGTTACTGCAAGAACGAACAGCAGGTTTAACTCCATGTAGGCTTTTTCCCAAAAAGGTTTATCTTCGTGTGGCCACTTAAAGATAAACCTACTTATAAAGTGTAACTTTCGGAATTGACAGAGTGCAAATTTACATTTGTAAATTCTCAATTTAAGTCTTTCTCCTTATTTTATGAATTTACTAATGCTTGCCAATGTTCAGAGTGAGTTCATAGAAAATCAATAAGAATGCCTGGTTAAGAACTTTGTTTCTTTGCTACTTTAAAAACAACGTGCTTTTAGTTTACATCACGCGATATAATATTAAAAATTTGATTGGTTTTCGCTTATGACGATCAACTCGAAATGAATTCGACTTTTTTTTCGCTGCAGCGAAACGCTGTATCAGCATAATTGCTAGAAATGTTTTTCATCTGCGCATGCTTATCGACAAATGCTTCGCGCGAATATTTCGTCTTGTGGAAAACGGCCTTTAAGTTAAAAAAAAATTTATTCTGAACAAAAACATGCATGCAGTATCGTATTTGGAGTAATAAAAACTCTGCCTTGTGAGCGACGTCTACGTAAACTTAATTCATTAAATGTGTTCAAAATCAACATACATCTAGTTATTCAGTCCATGTTTAAAATAAAGCATGGGTTGTCTCCAACAAAATTTTATCCTTATTTTAGCGGATTCCGTGCCAAATTTTCATAAAATAATTTTGTTCCTCAAAAATATGATCTAAAGTTAAATTATTATTCTATTCAGAACACGGTACTGTTAGAATAAGAACATAACTTTAGATCATTTTTTATGTGAAAAAAATTTAAGCATATTGTTAATATTATAATAGATATATTATACTATTAATAGAAATACCATTAATAGAAATACTATTAATAGTAAAAAAACACTTCTGCAATTCAAATCTTAATTAAGACGTTATTTATTATTTATAGAATTTAATAGAGGAGATTTTGTCTGTCACTTTTAGAAGTTATTAAACTAAATTAGCATTATAAATTTAAAAATCTGGATCATTTAACAAAAAGAATGAAATCAATTAATAATAAGAATTTCATTTACTAATATTAGTTGATATTAAGAATTGAAATTCCTTATATTAATTGATTTCTTAATATTAATTGAATTGGGGCCTTCTTCGTCTATGTTCGTGTATTAGAGTTTCAGATTTGAGAGAAGATTGTAACCACAATTAAATAGTCTTCTCGACTGTAGTGGGCTTTCTCTTCTCGGTCTTTGGGAAGTAAGTTAACACGCTTCTTGGCAATTTTATTATGTCGTTATATATCAACAGCAAACAATGTATTTAAAAAAGAAATAATAATATAATAATGAAATTTTTTGAAGTGAAGTTTACGTTTTATAAGATCTGCAAAAAAAAATATTGGTTAAGGTATGATAAGATACATAACAATTTAATAATACTTATATAATTTATATATTATATCAAAGTACTACAATAATACAATAGTACAATAATAATAACACTATAATGTATCGAGCGAATATCATAATGTCGAGTATGTAAAATACTCACAATATCAAGTACGCTACTCACGGTATCGAGTGCGATACTCACGGTATTGAGTGTATAAAAAAAAAATTTCAAAATAAAAAGCATTATAATTTATTAAACACTTTTTAATGTGTATAACGTTTACTAATAATTTTTTTAAAACTATATTTCGAAAAAATACTGACACGTTATTACAAAAGTAGTAAAATATAAATAATTCAAATTTAAAATAAAAAAAAAAAAAAAGACTTACAACTTACAAAATTGTTATAACCTCAAAAAAAAAGGCTTTTTGTCAATATAATTTCGTGTGACGTAAGAGTCGGTTTCCAAAATGACCTCCTCATTCCTCTTTTTTATTTTAATTTTTATTAATTTGTTGTTATTCTTAATTTCCAAAATAACTTCGTCAGCTATATATAGCGGCTAAAATTATTTAAAATATGAAAGAATTGTTGTGTATGAAAAATATTTTAGGTATCCGAAATGATGCTTTTGTATGAACTTATTTTAGGTATCCGAAATGATGCTTTTGGAAAATTATCATGATCCAGTAAAACCACCGTTGTGGATTTTGCTCTGAATGTGACCAACCATTTGATTATACAATAGTTGAGCTATTATTATTTATTGATAGTTATTTAACTTGGGCTACCATGGATTTAACACACACCTTTTGATAAAATAGCGAGGCAAACAAGAGCTAATACTACGATTAGCTAATATTAATAATACTACGATCATCAGTTATATCAAAAGATAAATTGTGGCGCCATTTATAAGAAAAATTTAAGGTAGCTAAGGGTGATGGTTTTGGTTTTAAATTTGTGTCAATTTTTATTTTAATTAATTCATGAGTATAGGAGAAATAAAACTTTAATTATACTTTTTAATTTCAATGAGACCTTCATTATCCCTAAATATCCCTAACTACTCGCTGTAAATAGTCTTATACTAAACAGATTGTATTGGCTATACTAAACAGATTATATTTCTGTTTAGATGTTTCAAGTATTGTCATATAGTATAATATGAGCAACTGAAATTGATCCAAATGTAAATTTATGATGCAAAAACCTTTAAATTTCTCATAAAATATCGTCAATTATGTATGCAGACGATACAAATTTATTCTACAACAATTCTGATGTAAAAATATTGTTCGAAACAATGAACACTGAACTAGAAAGCTTTAATCAATGGTTTATAGCTAATGAGTTATCATTAAATTGTGAAAAAGCAAGTTATACTCTCTTCCATAAAATAAGACAATCAACTAATCTTCCATTAAAGTTGCCAAAACTGTCAATCAATAAAAATGAAATAAATCGAGTAAATCATTCAAAGTTTTTGGGAGTAATATTTGATGAGAATCATGGAAAAAACATATTAGTCTCATTGAAGCAAAAATATCTTCTGCTATAAGTGTATTATATAAATCTAGGGCCTTTCTTGATTATAAATCACGCAAAATGCTTTACTTCATTCTTGCTCATTGTCATCTCTCCTATGCTAATATTGTTTGGGCTAACACACACAAAACTAAGTTATTAAGATTACAGAGCCTACAAAACCACGCATGTAAAGCAGTTAAGTATTTAAAGAAATTAGAAAACCCTTCCCCTGTAATGAAATACATAATTGTTTTAAATATATCAAAACTTAATTCGCTTCAAATATTAACATATATGTAAATATATATATAAATATAAGAATAACTTGCTGCCAAAAGTGTTTTCTGATATTTTTAAATCAGCATTTGCACAAAAATACAATCTTCGGTCAAATAACAACCATAACTATCACTTGAGCATAGTAAAATCGCAAGTGTCGAAATTCTCAATTATTAGCGAAGGCCCGTCATTATGGAATCAATTAAAAAATAACAATATAAAAAATTTGAAAAGCACTATCTCTTTTAAACGACAAATGAAACTGCATCTCCTAAATTTCTGACATATATGTAAGAGTGTTTGTATATGTGTGTGTTTTTATGGGTATATGTATATATGTGTATATATGTATATATGAGTTTTTCTTTACTCTTCACGTAGTATTTAACAGATAAAATATTTGTTGTAAATTTTCTAAAGCTAAGAGGGCTTTAAATGATATTGTAAAGGAGCTCTATGAAAAGATTGTGGTGACATCACGTCAGGTTAGAATTATTTTGTTCTATCTCCAAATTTGAGAAAAATGAGTTAATACCAATTTCTTTTTTATTGTTAATTTTTCTTTTTAGCAGTATTACTTTTGAAATTAATTTTTTTTTTTAATAGTGTCAAATCAGGTGTATCCGATTGTTCTATTTGCAAAATATCAACAGTTTTTAATGTTATTTTGTTAAATTTCCAACAACCAATAAAATTGCGTATAATTCACATTAAGTGTTTATTTCCTCTAATTTAATTTTAA